CCTCTTCTATGCACTATGTGCTTGTTCGTCCATGCACTGTTTTCTGCCCTTGGTGTACCTGGACTCGATTTCGCATTCTTAGCTGATGATGATGTTTCCCACTGGTGTTGATGTGCCGTGCGCTGATGGTTCTATCTCGTCTGTGAGAACACTTTTCCTTTTCTCTATGGGGTGAGCTGATTGCCTTCTGAGGACCTCGTCATCATTCTGCCAGCATTGATTGCCCTGCTAACAGGGGATTAACTGCGCGAGAATATGGATAACCAGAGAGGGGGAAAAGGGAGCCTCTTCAGCCCTGCTGCTGGGCGCCGGAGATGCGTGGCGGCCTAGCTCCCATCCCCCTGCAGATACAGCCAATTGATCTTCTGCAGCTTAATGCCTATGTAAATTATGCCCCCCCACTCACTCTGCCCCTATATACCCTTCATGAGGGTCTTTGTTCTGGACTCGCTGGTCGGAGCTGGGGTGAGTTGCGTTGCCCTGTAACCCAGCAGAAAGTGGGGGTGTGAGACCTGGAAGAGAGCGGCAGAGTGTACGACAGTTTCGGAGAACGTTGGAAGGGTGTGTGTGGGTTCTCAAGGTTTTTGGAACAATCGTAGGACCTCTGTGGCCTATTCTCTTGCTTCTGGAACGACGGTAAGAGTAAATAAGGTGAGTGGGAGAAGATGGTGGGTTATCATGCGTCCTACCAGTGAGGGGGCTAGCTGGTAGGATGGGAGTATGGCATAGCAGCAGTAGAGATGGTGGCTCCGCTGCAGTCAGTCTTGCCGGAGTGAGGCAAAGCAGATCGATGGGGGTTTTCCGAGTCGTTTCTGAATTTTTCATGAAGTTGTTATAGACATGTCTGAAGTAGCTCCAATAGTTCTGAGCTAAAGCCGGGTAATGGTCCCGGTATCTCAATTTTCCAAACTCCATCCTTAGGCCAATTAAAGTTTTCTAGTAGTTCCTTGTCTCATTTTCTTGAAATTGTCGGATGAAGTTTTCTGAAGTTTTCTGAACGTACTCGTTATGGGACGCTGGGCCCAGTTCCCAGCTCGTGCCAATTAGTGAGGATATGGTTGTATCTATGGGACGCTGGACCCGTTTTCCAGCAGGTGCTGCTCCCCACCAATAGATGGAGCTTGTTTTAAAAAAAAAAAAAAAAAAAAAAATCTCGTAAGACAAAAATAATAAAAATAATAATAATAATAATAATAATAATAATAATAATAAAAACAATCGACGGCCAGAAGTGAAGACCGCGTGTAAATGATGTCGGGAGTTTAACGTTCCAGCAGTCGATTTCAAAAACCAACCGCTATGGCAAAACAAATGACAAGGCTGTGCAAGTGTGACTAGATGATTAGTCCGTAGAAGTTTAGAACATGATGCTACCGCTTTTCAGCAAAAAACTGTTGTGCGGTGACGCTGGACCTGATTTCCAGCAGGTGGAGCTCCTCGCCAATAGACGGAGCAACCAGGGACAGCCACTAGAGGCGGCTGCTCTTATCACCCCCTCTAGTAGAGGTCGCTGGTTTTAAAATAATAAATAATAAATAAATTTTAATAAATAAATTTTAAAAAAACGGTTTAAGGGGGAGGGGGGGGGGGTCACCATGGACCTAGTTGCCAAATTGGGTTCCAAACACTCTTGTCCATGCTTTAGCTAACATGTTCCATGGTGACCCCCCCCTGAATACAGCAGGTAAAAAAAAAACAGCATAAGCTAGCATGGTCCATGGTGACCGCCACTTAATATAGCCGGTAAAAAACACTTTTTTATTGCGTAGATCCACCGTCAAGAAGAAAAAGTGTTTGCCCGAGATCAGGTATAAGGTAGTGACACCAATGGGCCTAGCTCAGTTAGTACAACACCCATGAACTGTTATAGTACAGACCTCAGTTGAGCAAATAACTCAGGGCATACTTACACTTGCACTTTCCAAAATGCATCTGACCGCAATTTCGGCCACACCTGTGTGCATCTGACCACAATTTCGGCCACACCTGTGTGCATCTGGCCGCAATTTCGTCCAGAAACAAGTCAAAACTCCCTAGTGTGAGTATGCCCTCCGATGAGCATAGCTAACGCATTCAAACCTGGGTACTGATTCAACGCATTTGCTTATGCGTGGGCCCAAGATCAGGCCATACTCCTCGCCATGTTCAGCATCGCAAAGCTATCATTGCCCCCCCCCCC